TCAGCCTTGCATGCTTTCAACCTATTTGGGCGACCGCCTTGGTCATGGAGCAGATATTACTCAGAACGTTCAGAATAATGAATCGAAGAGAAGAAAAGTGTAAAGAAGATTATTTGCTAAGATTCATTAAGCTGTCCTATTCACCGTTCGTCTGAATGCTGCCGCAGAGCCATTACGTAGTCGACATTCTTCACATTCCCGTGGTTTATCGAGTTCCAGCTTCATTTGTGCCATCTCTCGTTCGAGTTGGAAACACTATAATCACTTCACTCTTTCAGAGAACTGTTAGTAAACTTTGCACTTCAAACCTTTCTAAGCAGGCCAGTCTTCTCATCTCGAAGTCCGTCAATTGTTCGACTCATGTTGTCTGTCTGTTTTTGGCAACCAGCGAGTTGCGCTCGTAGTGCATTTTCTCCTTTTTCAGATGCACTTAGACGAGAACGCAAATGTTCTAATTCTTCCTTCCAAGCTCTTTCTTTTTCCTGATACACCTAAAATTTGAAAATCAGATCTCATAGGTCTCAAATGTGAGTTGAACCTACTTTTACGATAATTTCTTCATTTTGTTCCATAGTGTTACGTACGACTCGAAGTTCATTTTCCTTGTCACGAATTAGAGTCTAAAAGCAAGTATGAAACGTTCTTTCTTTTCATGAAAGATTTCGTTTGGATGAAATTTTGTTTACCTCATAGTCAACAATACCCGAATCGCTTGGTGAGGGAGTGACATGTAGGGCAGAAACGCGTCCAGATTGTTGATATGGTTTCTACAAGGGTTTTACTAGTTGCTTTCCTTGCAAACGGTACTTGACTACTCTACAGTTTGGTTAAATATATAAAGAAAAACCTTGTTCGTGCTAGGAGGACTGGACAGTTGACTTCCCGAACTATGCGTACCACTAGAAGCTGTCGATGAAGTCATTTTTGTTGGATGATGAATGTGATGGTATGAACCGTAGTCAGAAGCCGATGAACCAACTAAAATGATCATCCAACATAAAATAATCTGCACAATTCTCTTCCACTGATCGAGTAAAATAATATCATACTCACAGTCACTGAGCTTTTCCTTCTCAATATAATCGGGAACCGTATCGTACTCATTTTCTTGAGGTTTTTGCGAAGTAAAGCTGCAACAGGTTGTTGGTCAATGATCAACAGGATTACTTGGAAACGTAGACCTCGAGTAATACACAATTCAGTAGAATAAAGAAATAGTTTTTTATTGACCTATCATAAAGCCGGAGATCTACCCTAGATCGTTGCTGAAATTCAACTTTCTTCATAAGCAGGGTAGTTAGTTCTATGTTTTTAAGAGGGGGCAGAATGAATGAAAAATCATGTTGTTTTCAGCTGAGATGTTTCTATAAGAATTTGCAAACTTGATTCTGAACATTCAACATCAAGAGTTCAAGACGACAGGCTAAGGTTGAGATTACTTTTGTCATAACGAATGAATTATATTTAGCTCAGAATATCCATATAGCTTTGATTCAATGGATTAGGCGGCTGGAAGGGCGACCGCTCGCACCC